CTTCTTGCCTGGATGAAAAAACGTAAAAAAAATATATATGAAATAAAAAAATCCAGCGGCGTTTATTCTATTCCTTCCATTTTACTCACGTTTTTATTGCTTTTTGGGGAACGTTTCAGTATAAATTAATTAATTTCATTCCTAAACTGGGCATTTTTCCGTTTTCAAATCCCCCTGTAAACCCAATAAAAAGATTTAATTATGTTCTTTCGAATTTCTTCTCTTCTTTCTTGTCTTTAGGGGAACAATTCAGTCCCTGTAGACTCCAGCCTGATTACTTCTATTCTTTTTTTTCATTCACGTGAATTCTTTATATTTAAGAGAATATAAAAGCCTCAAATAATATCCAGTCGGATTGATTCTATTATATTAAAAATTTCCTTTTGACATTGTTGACTTTAGGAGAGTTTTTCAGCCTGTAAACTCAATCTCGGTGGAGTTTACAGGGACTATAAACTCCAGCCAGATACTTTTCTCAGCATTTCCCTCTCGTCTTTCATGCCTTTAGGGGAGAAAGAAATAATACATCCGGATTTATTATTTTTCTTCTACTTCCCTCTTGTCTTTCTAAAAAGAATGCCATGCAAAAATTCAAACTTGACCCATACGGGCGATTTATAAATTTGATATAACAATAAATTTTTTTTCAATACATTCAAATTATTAAATAAAGGACTATTTTTTTGTCCTAGTAAAAAAAAAAAATATAAAGACACCTTGGCTAAGGACCTGAAATCCTTCTTCTTTTAGAAGAATACGGTTAAAAAGCCCACTATGGGGAAAATGATCATACACCTTCTATACTTGAGACACATTAAAGAGAAGGATACTACTTACACCCCACAAAACACAGACATTATTATACAGACATTTGAACTAGCAATAACAAATGACATAAAAAGAAAACAATAGCACGTAAGCTTTTTTTGACAATATGACTGAAGGAGAACGTATAGAAAATTCGATACACTGACACATAGGGATGAATAATCATAACACAAAATATGACAAAGGGGGTGCGACAGTGATCTGGGGAATCGAAGAATACGTTAAAAAGGCCAACAAACAGCTAGCCGACAAAGAAACCTACAAAAAGCATACCTACAGATCCCCTTCCAGAATACAAAAAAAAGAATTAACTAGCTCACTAAACTTAATGCTTCGCAACAATCTAATCGACAAGGAAAAAAACACAACACTTACACCCACAAACATTACACCTGCCATTTCTATATCCTTCCTAAAATACACAAAAGCAACAATCCAGGAAGGCCGGTTATTTCATCGTTCAACTGCCACACGACAAAAAATTTCCAAATACATAGACTATTACATACAACCGCTAGCTAAGGAAGTAAAATCCTACATCAGAGACACAACAGATCTACTGAACAAAATTAATCACATACAAACAGTAACCAGAAAGCTATTCTAATGACTATGGACGTTAGGTCACTATATTCAAACATAAAAAACATCGAAGGGCTAACTGCCCTTCAGGAAGCACTTACTAAAAGAAGAAAACAGGACCTCCCCCACA